GAGGATCAAATAGATAACAATTGCGGTAAATCATCATTACAGTTCAGCTTTATATAAAACAGATTACCGGATCGGCTTTTAATAATAAATTAAAAATAATTACATTTTTAAAAAATGATATTTCCAATTTAACATATTATTTGTCTAGGTAATATAGGGTATATATAATTAATAAATAAACGAGAATCCCACTACTGAATTGTTTAAGTGTGAGTCAATTTGCCAAGAAATTATGCATTAAAAAGTGTGACATCTTTCCCGATGTGTCATCGTACAATTTCACATCGGAAGTAACTGTGTAAATAATTGACAAAATCTATGACCCATCTGCCTAAAAATAAAAACTCAAAAAAGACAATTTACATGAAATATGTCACTCAATGAGAAAGGTAGACTTGGGTTAATAATTACATTTCAGTTTGGTATAACGAAATAAAAGTTCTGAAAATGTGAAAATTATTGAATAATCAATTTAATTTATTGATTGAATTCATGAGTCAATTGAAGCTAGACCACCATGGAAAACCTAGAAGAACTGGACGGCCATTTCATCCTGCTATAGGTCCTGGGTGCGAATCTTGCGGAGCGGAATTGTGGATGTGCACTCCTGAAAAGTCCCATACTAAGATGAAACAGCCATCCAGTGCTTCTAGGTTTTCCATGGTGGTCTAGCTTCAATTGACTCATGATCTCAACCATTATAATCTCTTTATTTTTTGAAATATTCATTCGAAAGTAAATGTTATGTGTTTTACAGATGTGTTTGGTTTATTTTCAACTTTAAAGTATGTTATTGATATTTTATTAATAAGACCTGAGGCATTGACCTTTTCATTTAATCATTCGGCTAATTATTTGAAAAATAATTAACAATATTTATGGAAGACTAAAAGAAAAATGGTACAGGCACTGGGACAAATACTATTTTTTCGCTCAAAATGAGAAAGACAAATCTAGAGAGAAAGAAATAATGGTACCAAATGCAGCAAAGGACTACGAATTAAGGAGAAACAATTGAAAGAATGTGGTGAACTCGAGGACCACAATGCACAATGTTATACCGTATTATGATGTCTATTATGCATATTATGGCAATCCAATCGACTTATATTAACCGGGACACTTGTGACATAAGGCCCATATTGTGATAAAAGACGCTGACTGTAAGCAGTATTGATAACGGTATTAGATTCCAGGTACAGGAAGTAATTTATACTGTTTGCTGCCTTGATTTAACTTTGAAGTAAAATGTTTCCCTGTCAATGGACACTTTCAGAATGTTTTTTTATAAGTAAATGGATGCATTTGAAAATGTCAACACTGAAGCTAGGATATATCTTACTCCTTGTGGTTTCTCTATTAATGAACAAATTTTTAAAATTATAGATACATCACCACAATTCAAATATATGTATAGAGAATATCTGTAGTTGTCAGTTCAGTGTTGCTATCAGGCTCTGGGGAGGAGATTGTCTTGTGCAAGATAATTGACTACCTACCGTCCAAGTTGATCATCAGATAGTAAAACATAGTTTACAACGCATAAAATTTAATACTTATACTTGTAACGCCGCTTTACATAGGTTAACTGTGATCCGATCAGTTTGTAGTAGCACATTATAACACTTCAAAAAAAACATATCCTAAAGGTCGTCATTGTAAGTTAAAAACAAGTCTTGGCATTTTAAATCTGCAGTTAGAACTTTCTTTTCAATTTAAAATTTCAACACTAACAGTACGTCTTAGTCCGATAGTGAACATACTAGGTCGTGAGTTATCACAAATTGACTAAAGCTGAAAATATGGACAATCGGATGAGAACTCTATGCTTTAAAAGTAACACGATGATCATGATATCTAAAGACCCTAGGTTTTAGGGGAGTTGTACGTACAGGCTAATGAAACATTCCATACTAGGACAAAACAAGTATCTAATGATCCCTAATCTTCAATGATTATTAATCTAAAGTTAGTTCATAATGTAAAATATGATTAAAAAAAATAACCTTCACTGGCCTTTTATTTCAATAATTCGGTCATTATATAGATAAAGACTTGTGAATATAATTCATTAATTCAAATGGTAATTGTAACTTTATGGCATTTTTTGTAACATGTAGTTTATAAATTATGATAACTAACAATAATCACAATGATAACAAATTATATTTTTGTGTATACTAGAGGTCAAATTTATCAATGAGATTTCATGTTCGTTTATAAGCTCAAAATATTTTTTTCTCTTTAGGTGATCAATATCATCATAAACCTAAAGTATAAACATGATATAAAGGTGTATAATATAAAGTAATTTTGCATATTAAATGAGCTTATGTATGTCAGTATACGGAATAAAATCGATCATATGAATGCATAATTCAGACAATAAACATAACAATTGTTTATATAAGTTAGTAGTGTTTGTTTAATTAATATCTACCGACGAAACTCTTGGTAACACCAATCGGACTTAAGAATACATACCTGTCTATATTATAAAATATTTTCGGAAAAAAAACATAAGGAGAGCGAGTGGTTGTTTAAATCAGATTTGTTCACATGAAGAGTAATTCTCAGTAAATTCAAATTACCATTTATAAAATGACAAAACAACTGAGAATCAGTATACAATTTCACATAGATTGTAGATTTTGTGTGTCATTCGATAATTATCTACTTAAATTATAGAAGACCGGTTAACTCGTATTAGTCAGACCGAAACGGCCAATGAACTAGATATTTATTAAAATAATATTTAGACACATGAATGTGATGTTTATGATTATAATTTGTAGAAGAAGATAGTTTAAAACTATGATAGTCAGAAATATCATATTGTATGACAATGAAACTGGATCTACAAAACGCCGGCTACTCAAGCTGAGAGATCAAACCTGGTTTAGAACAAAAACTATCTCCTTTGAGATCTGAGTAGATACACGCCAACAAATGCAGGTCAAGACAACAAGTGTAACAGCAGCTTCTGCATCAGTAGGCCTCAAAATTCACAAGAAAAAAGCAAGGTCCTGAAGTACAACATAGACAGCACCATTCCAAGCGCACTTGATGTGAAAACTCTGGAAGAGGTGGAAAGTTTCATGCACCTGGACAGCATAATCGACAAACAAGGAGGATCTAATGCAGAAGTAAAGGCAAGGATTATCAAAATAAAGAAGCATTCCTACAGTTGAAGAACAAATGGAACTCAAAACAACTATCAACCAATATCAAAATCAGAATCTTCAATACAAACTTTGAGGCAAGCCTGCTGTACGAATCTGAAACTTGTAGAACTACTAAAACCATCATCGAAAAGGTGAAGGTGTTTATAAACAATTGTCTACTCAAGATACTCAATGTTCATTGTCGACCGAATACCATTAGCAACAGCCGGCTGTGGGAAAAAGCGAATCAGCCTCCTTCTGAAGGGTAAATTAGAAGAGGGCGCTGGAATTCGATAGGAAGAATTGTGAAAATCAACAAACTGAATCTCAAGGCAAGCGCTAGCTTGTGTTTTTGAAGAAAATGGAAAAGAGGAAGGCCAAAGAACACTGCATCAAGAATTGAAAGCAGATATCCAAAGGATGAATAGCAACCGGAAACAGCTAGAAGAGTTCGATAGAGAATGCTTGTGTGAGCCCTATGCTACTTCACGAGGAGTAACGAGCGTTGGTATGTAAGTTGGTAATCAAGTATGAAGATTAATACTATAAAGACCAGGTGGTCATGTTGTTTCGGAAAATGATACGCCAAAATCTTAGATCGTACTACTAGTAACCGTCCAAAATAATATACTTTTGTTTAACATTAGGCGTTTTGTTATCTTAAAATCATTTCCCTACTTACTTTCTTTCCGATGGCTATCTTGGTATTCTTCCTTTATTTCTTTGCTTCTCAATATATGCTTCGCCAGATGTATGAAATGACATTGTTACAGATCAACGAAAATTCATTAAATTACGATAAGTCAGTTCAAGCATCCACAGTAAAATGACTTTTGTAAGGTGTGCCACAAAGATTCGTGGAATCAACTTAGAGACACGTCTATGCTTTTATAAGGTGTATGACTGATAGATAAGTAGTGAAGGGATTTTTAATTTTAGTCACAGGTTCACACCATACTCATTCTTTATTTTTTTAAATAGCAAAGTGAAATTACTGATTTTTTCACAACAAAGGTATAATTCAAAGTCGGACGCATCAGTATGTACTAGATATACAAATTAGAATAACATCAACGCACTGCATATACAACTAATAAATGGTATTAAGCAGTTAAAGTATTATCCAGAAGTGTTCACTGAGAAAAAATAATGAATAAAATCGTTCAGTAGTACTAAATACATATGTTGTCTGAAAAGTTTGTAACAGTAGCGCCACGTTTAAGTTGATTGACTGATAATATTTAAAGCGAATTTGTCTCAACGATTTTAATGTAGATTTACTTCTAATTTAAAGCAAAGCATTGTAGAAAGGTAAATACCTGCTGTTATACACATAAACGGAAATATGTTCGCTAAACTAGTCATAACTGTATATTTGAAACCAAAATATTGTTCATGTGGGTCAATCCCAGCTATTTGCACTTGTAAAACATCTGCCTACGTTTGTCTGTCGTTTCTCAATTACTAAACCATTATTAACATTCTATTGTTTATCAAAACATTTGTGTGATTTGCAGCTTCTTGATAGCTGTTTAATTCTTTGTAACGTAGAAGAAATAGATTCCTAGTTCAACAGGCTCCATTGAAGCCATATGCAGCTCGAGTAAAAAACTTGTGCAAAAGATGAAAGACAAAATTTATCAAAAAACCAAAAAGTTATTGCCTAGGCAACTATATAATTCCATGCACAGCATTTTTCATGTTACAGGTATGTTCTATACAGAATTTAGTAGCCTGTTACTAATTAGGTCTGTAGCGTTAAATAAATCCCCAAAATAAATAGCTCTGTAAGTTTTCGACATTGGGTGCTGACCAGATTATTTTTAATGGACTCACCTGGCTGAGGGCGCTCGGTCATGCATCCGTATCAGATCACGTGTGGGAACGCCGTGTTCAACATTTACCGCAATCGCTAGCCAGATTAGATCAGAGAATTCCGATGTATTGGCAATCGTCAAATACAACTTCTAATCTCCTCGATTCTGTCTTTTGATTTATCTTGGTGGGTACGAGTTATATTAGGTGTTACTGATAAAAGCGTTATCAAACACTGAATACCTGTGCAATCTTCAGGTCGTTTGTTCTTTCTAGGTAGACTTAAGACATATATAGCAATTTGAAGTGGACAAACGTGTTCAACGATTATCAGTGCATGATCAGAAACTAAAGACAAGCAATAGGAGTCAGCTTGCTATCATAATAATTACACTTAAAGATAAAGAGAGTACTAAACTTGTTGTTTTCATTCGCGTAAAAACGGATAAAAAACAATTAAAGTGTAAGTCTCCGACTTACTTCTGCTATTTATGCAACCTTTGTATATTCAAATATTACTATATATTGTCCTGAAAAGACACAACGCATGACATATTAGATTTGTTTCTGGGAAGACTGAATAAACAATTTAAAGAAAAAACTTGAATCGCGTGTGACGATATATCAAAAAAAGAATACAGCTTGCACTGTGAACCGAGTCAAGTTGAACCTTCTCCGTTGTTATTCGCATTCGAAATACAATAGTTATTATATAAACAAAATTTGACGGTGAAAAATTAAGAATCTAAACCTCATTCAGCACGTCAACGATTATCGAAACACATTACTCACACGACAAGAATGATGCCTTTGACAAAACGTACAGACAATTTAGTGTTTTATCAGTAAACTTGTGACATCAATGCAAAACATTTCGAGGCAGAAAACGATGATCAACCAAATAAATACAAGAACTCACAGTCAAACTGTATTTGGACTATATGCTTTGAAACAGAAACAGTTCAACATATTTTGAAAGTTCCATAGTCACATGTGACAGGAAAGACATCCGAAAGCGTCATTTTTGAAAATATCACACAAAAACTAACAGCTTTTCTAGTGATTCAAACATATGTCCAAAAACATCACGAATTCGAGTCGTACATATTTTTTGAACCCTCAATATCCGTAGATATTTATAAACACATAAAATATCACTTTAAATAGTTCGTAAAGACGATATGTGTTAAATTTTGCTAGGATATTTCCTGTAACACCGACATTTAAGATGAAACACATAATGATTTCAGTGTTAATTAGTTAGTTTCAACTGTTTGGAAGAAAGTAGATGGATAATTTGGCGATGATTCAATATTATTGATCGAGTCAGTTAATCCGTCGACCTTGTGAAATATAATCATAGATTAATTGATTAACAAGCTGCTAAACAAATTTATCGATAATTATCTATTGTCCGGATGTTCGAAATGACGTGGATTTTATTGCGACTGTGGACTTTCATTAGCTAGTGATTGCAGATTGACTAATCCCTGCTTTATTTATTGCGTCACTCAAGTAGCCATATACGGTTGCAGCCATTCATTTGTGTTATACAGTCATCAAAGTAGCTGTGGTGCCTGCATACGACGTAAGGTACTAACCGTGAGTTGTGCCATGTATCCAAGTAATGTTTGCACCGTTGGAGATCATTTTCCTCTCATTCTAAGGCTGTTTGGAACATGCTCAAAAAACGAAGATATATCCTTCTTCGATTCTACCAATGTAGGTGTAAGATCCATTCTGAATGTTTTTTTTGTGAAAATCTCACTATGTATACACCAGCAGTTTGCTCCTATTTTACATTTTATTAGTCCTCGATTCCATTTGAGTTGTTAATATTTGTGTTTTATTATAGTTTCTATTTTTCTTACGCCTTCACTGACTTTCAGTGTTTCTTCCTGAACAGCATTTAGGTTGTCTTACTTGATATTTAGCCTCGGCGGCAGCCATATCGGTTTGTTCCTCCTTTTGATTGTGTTGCTTTTATTGACCGGAATTGTGCATTTTTGGTTATGAATTGAGACACTCCTAGAATTGGAAACAATCTGTGTTATAAAGCAACCAAATATTATCATTTGAGCAAATATGTGCGTGACAGAAAAGCATTTATTTGTTGCGATCGGTAATTTTCTCGCATATGATTAATTGAACAATTATTGATCGGACAGATGGGTGTTTACATTTGTTTAGGTAACAATGTACATTAGGATTCATGAGGAGTTTTAGAACTGTCAATTTACTCAACTACATTGTTTTAGTTTCAACCAGGCAAGAGCGCGTATCTAACCCACCTAAACAGCTATTCTTCAGTCCAAACCTTAGTTTGTATCTTACAGTAGGTACACGTGAATCTACAAGGAAAGTTGTGGTTGAAATGGAAGTGGCGTTTGTCGATTTAATATTGGGTTAATAAACGTGTTGTCGTACACAGAATAAATAGTCTGGCCAATGCAGTGTCAAGCCTTTTGAAGATCGTGCTTGCGAGGGCATCGCCTTTGAGGTTGAAATTTTTTGAAACTCACTTTTATTGATTGCAATAACTTCCGTCTTGTTTTCACCGGAATTCTCACACTTGGCAATAAATTTCTGTGGGTAACAGTTGTATCTTTGGCATTTATCTTTTTGAAATATCCACCTGATACACCCTACATGACGGCATCCATCCAGTGAATCTCAAATACTGTTTCTGAAATTCCCTGTTACCTACTTGATATTACCATTTTTACTAATCCTTCGAACGTTATTTATAATTGTTTCAAATTTGAATCTGAAGGTGAAGTATGATACGTATGTGCATTACCATATAAACGTATCCATGAAAAGCTGAAGAAATACCCTAATTTTATGTTTATTTGTCAGTCACACGATAACAATCTTGAAGACACCGTATATACAATATTTCTATACTTTTAGGTACTCTGTATTTTTTAATTGTGATTTCGAAATTCATACCTGATGGAATTGTCGTCGATATTGGTATTGTTAACGGGTAATGTGATCACTTCGAGTTACCTTTCTACGGAAATGACCAGTTCAGACTCAAATCGATACAGGTATTCTATGACGCTTCGGTAAAATTGCGCAGGTTAACAAATCGGATTACGAGTAGCTAATCGACAAAATCCACAAATCCTACATACAATGCTGATGTACTTCAATAACCAAAACAATCCAGCGAAATGTCTTTGTTGGCAACGAAAAAATGATAATCGGATCACTCTTCACAAACATTAGGCAGAAGAGAGACTAGGAAAACTGCAGAAATAGCAGACTGAAAAACTTTTTATTCCAACGGATATAGCTGTCAGCAAAAAAATAATGCTCGTCCATGTAATGGGTTTCACAATTTACAGTTCTGAATCAATAAACCAAGTTATTTACAGTGAAACAAACTGAATTATGATTGATCAGTATTTACAAATCAGACCTAGCATCGGCACTAGGATTGTTACCATTGAAGTAGCTACAGATTAAGAGCAGTGTAGTATGAAGCAAAGTGAAATCGTTCCGAACGAACAGGAGAAACGATGTATAAGGCGAAGTAAATGTTCATTAATTCTGAATGATTATCAATGAAACATCAAGCATTTAGTTACACAAGCAACTACATCTTTATCTGTTTATCCTTCTGTTTTTGTGGAGTGCCAGCCATTCAGTCTTGTGGTAAGGGTCCGAAAGTGAATATACAACAACTCGAGTCAGGTCGTTAAGAGTTTGCCGAAAACTTTCTGATAATGTCAATATTGCAGTTCAAACACCCATTTACTTCCTTATTTTTCTTAGGGATTATATTTCCCATTATTCTGTAATAAATTTCGAAAATTTTGTGTGCCTTGAAGAGCATCCCCACGCCCCAACTGTCTGGATAAATAACTACAACCACTATTCTGGCTTCTTTTAAATACTTAATAAGTTTTATGTTGACTTGGAATAATAGCGATATCACCATAAGGATGAAAGCGTTTATCTGAAAAATGGAAAGAATCGGATGACAACTTGAATACCACTGAGCAAAACCCTAGATTCAGTTTAAAATAAACTGAGGTAAGTAAAACATTCTGACTCACAAACATTTGAACTGCGACCACCGTGCTCAGTTTTTTTGGACAGTGATTATTATCTCCCTTATTCATTAATGTTAAAAGCCTTGTGATGTGGGTTTCATTATAGTTGGCATACTCGGTTTAAGTTGATAAACACTACTTCTACAAGTATTGGATTACGAACACATTAGACAGCTTAAGCTTATGGATTGTGGTTAATCATCAATATTTTATTGCACATAAAAATAGGATATACCAACATTTTTTAGACAAAATTAAAGTTAGGAACCTTATTCAGTAGGGTTGTTTAAAAAAATGCTCTGATGGTAATGGATGGACAATTAAAGCCAAGGAAAAACATCGAAATGAGTAAAAAAGTTGGCGAAGTGCTAAGAGTAAACAAAATAAATAGTAACGATATAAACGAAAGACTATCTATGGACAAAAAACGGCAACATATAGCACTTACAACATGTGGCATATCAAATTATAACAACTGTTACGGAATAAATGTTCTTTGTTAGCTTGATTTGGGACAACAACCAAAAATGAAGGTTCACTCAGTTAATAAATGTTCGCCTGAAAAAAATTGGCTCCCACGACGCGGAGTTGATAAATGAAAATACAGGCCAAAATCCCCATACTGCGCAGAATGATCTAAAATGATGTAATCTTTTATCACAGTCCTTGGCCGACAAAACAGAAGAATGATAGGTGGAGACAGATTTCATTTGTAAACCAATAGCTGCATGCTTGCTAATCAGCGAATCGATAATGTCCATGTTACTGGTGACTAACAATAGATATTTTATCAACCTCACGTTCTCACTGCAAAACCACGAAACTTGTTCTTACGCCTGGAACAAACCTATCGCACATGTCTTCAAGGGTGTGGCTTATACCAGGAGCCTTTGAATAATCATATTATAATAATCATAATATTTTTAAACTGTTCCACTGCATAGATACTTAATAGCCACAAGGTTGCCGTACCGGACCAGATGTCCTTTAGCTAAGGGCACAAACCCAATGCGGACGCACTTTTAACAGTTCGTAAAACCTGTGAACACACAATGCAGTGCTATCGTATAAACATCATTATTAATTCATTGTTACCCGTGCACAAATATTTTGCCATGTATTTTCACTCATCTTGTATGTGATACAGTAGTATCTTAACGATAAATCAAAGTCCTAAATTATTAATTATGCCTGTAATTAAGTTATATACCAGCTATATCACAAATATATTGTCAGCCACTCATTAATAAGTGTGATTACGCATGAAGTGTCAATCGCAAAAAGTGTAGCTTTTACTATTGTTGTAACTGAAATTACTTGGTGTATATGTCACTATAAATCATAAACAGCGGTAAATAAAGCCCCAGTACATTTATATGAGACTGCATCAAGGTGTGAATCTGTAACAACAGCAGCGACGTCATTCATTCTATTCTTTGCACATGACATCAAGATTTGGAGACCCATACACTATATATCAGATACGATGAACATACGGACCGAACTAAGTTCTCTGGTTCAATGAATGTATAGATGGCCTTTTGAAGTTAATTCCAGTGAGAGTATACCCGTGAAAATAAATAAAAGCGACGATTCATATCACTAACCGTTAAGTGGAGTTTATTACAGTAAGTAGTAGACTATGAAGAATAATAAGCAACGTTCTAAGAACTACGAATAACTGCAAGGCTGCTGCTGTCAAAGGCTTCAGTGTCTCACGTTTTATTTGTAAGTCACTTCATTGCATGGTCGAAGAAATTTCGCTAGTGTTATACTAGACGATATATATACTAGGCGATATTTGAAATAGGTTATTCAAGCAGTCTGTCCTTGTTTCAATTGTGTGGCATATAAGCCTAACCGAGCCCAACGGCGATGAACTAACACAACAAACCACTCTGGTCTATAATATGAACACAAATGGTGATACCTGGACTTAGTTTCGTTATTTTACACAGGTTACGAAGA